TGTGTGTGTGTGTGCGTGTGTGTGTGTGTCTTTGTGTATGTGTGTATGTGTGTAGATCTATATGTGTATGTGTGTGCGTACGAGCACGAAGGTTCATAGAAATGGATGTGGGATTTGTGGGTAAGCGTATGTATGTGTGTGTAGGTGGGTGCTTTTTAAAAAAATGTTGAGGAAAGTGAAAGAATGGCCTATTAATCATAAAAAACCCCACAACCTCCAAATGCGATCCAGTTTCAAACATCAGCAATCCTCACACGGTCCAACAAACGTCTAAGGGAAATAATCCAGTTTGAAAACTGTTGCCAACTGTTTATCCCCCCTTTATCCCAAGCCTCAGTGGGATCCAACCAATGACCTTACAGCAAACAGTATAATATTAACCTCCTTGGGTTCAACCAAAACAGAAGATCTGATGGATGTGGTAGCCCACCACCAGAGGCGGCAAGTGGGGCTAAATACTGGTCGCTAGGGGGCTATCCCGAAAAATGCTGTTTTGAGAAAATCGAAGGTACTGTTTTAGCCCCCTTGTTCAATTTCTTTAAAGGACAAGGAGAGTTTTCTCTACAATCAAACAAATATACACACCAGCGAATCCAAACTTCTCCCTATAGGTAGAGCAATGCCCACTTTTGATGTATGTCAAGATTTCTGGAAACCCCTGAAATCTGGGTTAGCCCGCTTGTCCTTAAAAGCGACCAATTAAGCTATCGCTATCTATAAGCTATTTTTGATGACCATAAACACCCACGAACCACGTGTGTTTTCTCGGTGTGGTCACATTTAGATTACCGTAACGTAATGCATGAAATGCTTTTTGAAAAAAACTATTCTAAGACAGAAGAGGAATGACATTCACTTTTACCACTAATTGAATTGTCATCAATAAGAAAAACATGTTCCTACCCTTGTGGCCAGAGGAAGACAAATTAAAAATATGAGAGTCATGAAGAGACATTTGCCTATAGCTTCCCGGCGTCCTCCGAACTTGGGCCACATGTCAGCAATGGTGGTGAGAGCTGTCTCAAAGTTGACAAACTGTTGAAGAGACGGGAGAGAGAACCTAATATTAAGATATAACAGAGCATTGATTTTCCTATAACTACCTCCTGGTCGAGCTAACACTGAGTCACGTTCAGCCTTTCCGGTAACTTACTATGAGACCTCTTTTGAGAGCCCCCCCCCCAACCGGTTTTATTATAAGCATTATTCTCTAAATTTTATTCTCAGTCGCTCCTAAAAAAAGCTTTCGAAGAGGTGAGGATGGAGAAATGCTCATCCATAAACTTCAGTATTCTCAAAATGCTTTATAAGGTATTACAAGATTTTAAAACAGCTTTCTCAAATTTCCAATTCTCTTTGTAAACAGCGAACGGAAAAGGACCGAAATTATCTGGGATGACGGTTAAAATACTGCAACTCAATTCTTCGAAAACCAAGGGGAACCTGATGTGCCTTTAACAAATGGATTAGGACTGTTCTTTTCATCATGAGCCCTGAAACATCGATTTACGTACCTGTGAGTCCAGACCCACTGTGAGCAGCATGCCGAAGAAAAGGACAGCCCACAGTTGTGGCACAGGGAGATAAGAAATGGCCTCTGGGTAAACTACGAACGCCAGGCCGGCTCCTGAGGAGTGTGAAGTAGTTCGTCATAACGGCGGCTACATCTTTGTACTTACATGCTAATAATTTATACTCGTAGTAAGAGTCTTATGATACTTGCAGTACGAATAGGTCATATACGTGCCGAAGGTTGAAAATGAGACAGTGAGTAACTTGAAAAGTATAGTAATAAAACAAGTGAAATAGGGAGTAACATAAAAACAATAATAAAATGAAAATGAAAAGGACCGGAAAGTTAAGTAACGTAAAGTTGTTCCCGCATCCGATCATTGGGGATTGCCTTGTTAGTGAGACAACTTTCTGGGCTTTCGGCTTATTGTGGTATTACGGCCAGTTCCTTTCCACACTGCCTTTACTTCCCCAACTCGAAGTCAGGCACCCATTACTGCTGGGTTGGCATGAGGGGGCGAAAAAATCCGTGTCCGAACCGAGGCTCGAACCCGGATTTTCCGCTTCGGAGACGAGCGCACTAACCGCTCCACCACTACTCCCTCATTTTTTCCGTGACGTGACGAATATCAACATATCGCTCCACGAAGAACGGAGACCTGGCTGTGTATATAAGGTCAAGTAAATTCCGAATGGGGAGCTAAAATCTTTTATTATCCATTTCAAAACATTATCGTTTTTACTAAAACAATCTTTCATAGCAACACTTAATGTGTCAGCTCTTCAGTAACAAAATCAAAATGTTATTAATATTGTACTAACCAATAGGTCTAAATTATTTACACCGCCCCACCCTGACAAATTTTAAGCAATTTGTACACATTTCAGGTAGGTTGATGTTAAACAATCTTCTTTTCACTCTCCAAGTATTCAAATTGATTTTCAATTCTCGAGGAAAGCCTGTACTCTTCTTTTACGTAATAGACCCTTTTATTTTTAAAATACCTATCTTTGAAATAAGCAAGTAAGCAACTAATACAATATAAATTGCTTACAAAGTGTATGTAGATATATCCGTTAGACAATAATGTAAGCGTAGAGTTCAGCAGGAATGCCTACCAGACTGAGAGAACTGTTGTATCGGGACGCCTAGAACGTGCGACATGTGCCCGAGGACTGTGAAGATGGCGAATCCAGCAAAGAAACTTGACCCCTCGCACACAAGAGTCAGCACTACCGAGTCCCTATTGGGAAGTAAAAAACCCAATTATATTCATGATGATGATGATGATGATGATGATGATGTTGATGATTGTCATTATTATTATTATTATTATTATTATTATTATTAATATTATTATTATTATTATTATTATTATTATTATTATTAATATTGTTTATCATCGCTATCACTGTTGTTATTATCACCACTAGCAAAAATCCCAGTTCTATGAACGGCACAATATCTAATAAGCATTGATGAGAATGTAGACTGCTTTGTTTTAGTAAGTGTTTTACGACGCTCGCAACTGAGTAAGGTCAAGTGAGCGTGCGGGACACGTTAAACATTTTCGGTTTGATTGAAATTCTTTTTGAATGTTTGCCGGATGGCTGCCGAAGTCAACTCTTATCGATTTTTGGCCAGACCAAGGGATCTTTAACAAGCACAACTTGCCAACGGGGCTTCCGAGATTTTTGCCCTTATCCAAGAAGGCTAGGTATTTGATTTTACCTAACCTAAGATCAGGGGACTGGCTGAAAGACAGCAGTGAGAAGTAGCCAAGAAGTAGCAGTAGAAAGGCTGCAGAAAGAGTCAGGAGCCCTGAGTGGGGGCATAGGTAAGGGATGGAGGGGGCAATAAGTGAAGACGAAAGCCGACCACAGACCACGGTTAGAGAGCAGGAAAGGAAGTGAAAGGAGAACATTTTAGAGAAGAGAAAATGTTCCGTCCCTCTCAGGTTTTGAACCCGACACATAATACATGAGAAGCAAACACATCTTGACCGCGAGAGTCCCAGAATTCAGAACGTACACAAATCATACTTTCCTCTTTATTGTAATAATTTTTAGAATAATTTATCTTTCTCTCGGTCTGTCTTTCTGTATTTGTGTGAGGGGTGGGGG